TTTTTTTTTTTTTGGTACCGGGGATCGAACTCACGTCCTTGCGCTTGTGCAGCAGGTGGTGAAACCACTGAGCTAAATCCCTGGCTCGGGATTCCTACAACTTTGAGGGCATCTTGGAACACATAGTGAGACTCTGTCTCCAAAAAAAAAAACCAAAATAAATTTCAGTGGGTAGCCCTACTAAATGCTTTGTAGTAACCAGAGGTCTCTGTTAATTAACTAATAAGGGGGCTGGGAATGTAATTCAGTGACTCCACATCTGCCTGGCAAGTGCCAGGTCCTGAGTTCAATCCCTGGTACCAGAAAAAAAAAAAAATAAGGACTTTATATACTTCAGCTTTTCTCTTTTTTGAGACAGGATCTTGCTATGTAGCCCAGGCTGGCCTTGAAGTCATGGCTGTCCTCCTGCCTCAGCCTCCCCAGTGCTGGGAGTACAGGTGTGCACCACCACACCCAGCTTGGATTTTTGTTTTTAAATAACATTATTTTGCAGATCGTTCTACATAAGCATATAAAGACCTACCTCACTGTAGTCCATTATGTAGATATCCTATGATTTATTATTAGTAATCATTTATTTTTTCAGTACTGGGGATTGAACCCAGAGAGCACTGAGCTCCATCTTCAGCACCCCGCTCTGTCCTTTTTTAAATTTTGAGACAGGGTCTTGGTAAGTTGTCCAGGCTGGCCTGAAATTTGGAGTCCTCTTCAGCCTCCCAAGTAGCTAAGGTTACAGGTATGCCCCACCATGTCCTGCCATAATTTATTTGATACTTGCTTTAAGGAAGTAATAGAGATAAGAAAAAACAATTTGCCCAGCCAGCAACATTCCATTTTATAGGAAGCTAAAACATAAACTTATGTGTCACAAAGACAGTCTTCATGTGTTTATCTTATTGAAAGGGCTTAATATGCTCTTATCTTGCCCAAATACATAATTAGAGACAATTTTTATTGCTGAAATGGCACAGTATGTATAAGTAACTTTATCATCAAGGTCAGTATCATTTAGATTGTAATTAAAATTTCTAGGCAGGCGTGGTGGCACATACCTAATAATCCAGCACTCTCAGAGGCTGGGGCAGGACAGTTCTAAAGTTTGAGCCCCTTTCTCAAGTATGGAGGCGGGGAATGTAGTTCAGTGCAAAGGCCCTAGGCTTAGTCCCCAGTACTTCCCAAAAAATTTTTTTTCCTCCTTTGGGGATTAGAGTTTATATAGTCAAAAATCAGCTTTTCCATGTTGGGTACTTTAGAAAAGAAAAAGTAATTTTAATTGACCTGCCAGGCATGATTTTTTTGAAAATGATAATTGCTAGATGATGTCTTATGTCAATTACTGAAACCTGCAAGCCAGGTGTAGTGGTGCATGCCTGTAATCTCAGCACTTGGGAGGCTGAGGCAGGAGGATCTCCAGGAGTTCAAGGCCATCATGGGCTATATAGTTAGTTCAGGGCCAGCCTGAACTGCAAAGCAACACCCTGCCTCAAAAAAAAAGATTGAAAGTTGCTGTTTATGAATGGCACACATTTATGATCCCTAACACTTGGGAGTTGAGGCAGGAGGATTATAAATTCAAGGCCAGCCTGGACAACTTGAGACCTTATCTCAAAATATAGAAAGGGCTGGGGATACAGCTCAGGGATAGAGTACCTGTATGTTCAATCTCCAGTACTACAGGATAGAGGTGAGGATTGAAAGTCATACATTTTTTTTAAAAGCTTACTTTTGGGAGATATTTTTACATGGCTTACTGTTTTATCATTAAAGGCATGGTGGAGCTAGTTCCTGCTTCAGATACCCTCAGGAAAATCCAAGTGGAATATGGTGTGACTGGATCCTTTAAAGATAAACCACTTGCTGAGTGGCTAAGGAAATATAATCCCTCTGAAGAAGAATATGAAAAGGTGGTTAGCACGTCTCCTTATTCTAAATAACTATAAAAAATGTGTTACAGAGTTTTAAAGTGCATTGATATCCAGTTCTGGTGACTAAGTAGTCATTTAGTCTGTGTCAACAAGACATTGTCAGGGCCAGGGATTTAGCTCCGTGGTTCTGCTGCCTGCCTCGCAAGGGCCAAGGACCCTTGGTACCAAAAAAAAAAAAGAAGACGGTGTCTTTCTCGGTATAGAAAAAATATGAGTCAGAATGCATTTAATGACAGAAATATAAATGAAACCAATGTTACATTAACCTACAAATATTCTAAACACATATTTAGAGGCCAGCAAAACAGAGGTGTTTTTATAACCCAGAATATTGTATTTTCGAAGAATAAGTTATAGAAATGAGTAAGAGCTACATTGTGTGTTTCAGAGAAAAAATTATGGGCTTGAATGTCTAGGCGTAAGTCACCAGCTATAGGGCTTTGAGAGTTCTTTAACCTCCATGTGCCTCAGTGACCTCTGCTATAAAATACTATAGTTTAGGACTGGGGATTTAGCTCAGTGGTTCCACCGCCTGGCCTGTAAGCGCAAGGTCCCAAGTTTGATCCCCGGTACCAAAAAAAAAATACTATAGTTTATATTTGGTATTATAGTATATACTATGGCTATAAAAATGATCATACAGGGTTAGTAAATTATTGTATTATAAGGAATTAAATGAGTATATTTACAGTATAGAGAGAGCTCAGCATTGAGAAAAGTGTGTATTGGTAGATCTTTTTCTTATTGGAAGCATCAGTTTTTTGTATTTATTTTAGTATTGTTTTGAATTACATAGGAGAAAATGGTAATCTCTTAGTACACAGGCCTGTCATGATCCTATCTTGACTTAAAGAAAACTCATGAACACTTTGAATGGTGATGTAAGAAGATACCAGTTTTTACTGTCATTTAGCTGCCAAGCTTCTTTTTTTTTTTTCCCAGAACTGGAGATTGATCTCAGGACTTTCCACTTGCCAGACAGATGCTGTGCCACTGAGCTACATCCCCAGCCCTTTAGCTGCCAAGTTTCTGTATCATTATTGTATTCCTTTTATAGACATACAAATGCCATTGTTGATTTGGGAAGGTAAAGCACAGGAGTTTTGTCCTTTGCAGATCTGGTAGATAGTAAGGTCACTGCCTTTTCTTATTTCTTTGTGATCTAGGGGATCAGTGCAGCAGAAGCCAATATCTGTAGTAATGCTGGCTTGTGATTTTTTTTTAATGAGTTGTGGACATAAAACAGTTGTCAAGTAGTGTACATTAAGTACTTCTTATGCATTTGGCTTTTTTATTGAATAAGCAACAGTGTAACATAGTGGAATCAAATTGTCGGAGTTTGATTCTTGGCTCTGTCATCTAACAGTTGTGATCTTGGGCAAGTAACCTCCGTGTTTCAGTTTCCCTTATCTGTAAAATGGCAAAAATAATAGTACTTAAAACATTGATTTGTTGTGAGATTATAAATGAGTTAATGTATATACACACACATTATCTCTATATGAAGATAGAGGTGTGAGTGAGTATGCCTGACTTGTGATAAGTGCTGTATAAAGATCTGCTATTATCATCTTTGGTAATGGTTTCTGGAGGGTTATGGAGTAAAATTAACCATGTGAGCAAATAGATCCACATGACTGTACTACTCAGAAATACAGTATTTTGAGCCAGACATAATTAGTATATGCCTGTAATCCCAGCACTCTGGGAGGCTAGGGTAGGAGTATCACAAGTTCAAGCCTAGCCTTGGCAATTTAATGACTTAGTAGAAAGAACCCTGTCTAAAAAGAAAAAAAAGTCCACTATCACCACTCCTGTTCATATAGTTTTGGAAACATTAGCCACAGCAATTAGAAAAGAGAAAGGAATAAAGATAGGAAAGGAAGAAGTTAAACTGTCATTATTTGCTGACAATATGATACTCTACATTGAAGACCCAAAAGACTTCTAGATTTAAGTGACAAGATTCAGTAGAGTAGCTGGATACAAGATCAACACTCAAAAATCAATAGCCTTCTTGTACACAAATAACAGACTCACTGAGAGAGAAATTAGGGAAACAATCCCTTTCACAATAGGATCCAAAAAAATAAAATATTTAGGAATCAGTCTAATGAAGGAACCAAAAGACCTCTACATTGAGAACTACAGCACTGAAAAAAGAGATCGAGGAGGATGTAAGAAAATGGAAAGACATCCCCTGTTCCTGGGTAGGAAGAAGCAATATAGTGAAAATGGCCATACTTCCAAAGCTGCTATACAGATTCAGTGCAATCCTGATTGAAAACCCAGCAGCATATTTCACAGAACTAGAGAAAATCCAAAAGTTCATCTGGAACCATAGGAGACCTAGAATAGCAAAAGCAATTCTAGGCAACAGAGTCATGGCAGGGAGTATCCCAATTCCCAACTTGAAACTGTACTACAAAGCCACTTGGATTAAAAACAGCATAGCACTGGCAAAGAAACAGACCTGAGGGTCAGTGGAATAGATTAGAAGATGGAGAAACAACTCCAGAGATACTCAGCTATCTAATCTTTGACAAAAGAGCCAACCATCCTCACTGGAGGAAAGATAGCCTCTTTAATAAATGGTGTTGGAAAAACTGGATTTCAATTTGCCAAAGATTAAAACTAGATCCCTATCTTTCACCATGCACTAAACTAAAATTGAAGTGGATTAAGATCTAAATATTAAAACAGAAACACTAAACTTGCTGGAAGCCAAGTTAGGTAGAACTCTCGACGTTGGCATAGGAAAGGACTTTATGAACAAATCCTCAGTAGCACGGGAACTAGCACAAAGAATCAACAACTGGGATCTCATCTTATTAAAAAGCTTCTGCACTGCAAGAGAAACCACCAACAGAGCCAAGAGACAACGTACAATGTGGGGAAAAATTTTTACCAACTATTCCTCACACAAATGTCTACTATCTAGAATGTGTAAAGATCTCAAAAATAAGACCCCCAGGCTGGGGATTTAGCTCAGTGGTTTCAAGCGGCCTGCTGTGCAAGTGCAAGGACCGGAGTTCGATCCCTGGTACCAAAAAAGAAAACATCAGACCCCCAAATATAAAGACCCAGTTCAAAAATGGGCATCTGAAATGAACAGACATTTCTCAGAACAAGAAGTAAAAGCAGCAGATAAACATGAAAAAATGTTCAACATTACTGGTCATTTGAGAGATGCAGATAAAAACAACACTGAGATTCCACCACGCCCCAGAAAGAATGGCTGCTATCAAGAAATCAACCAATAACAAATACTGGTGGGGCTGTGGGGAGAAAGGAACCCTTCTCCATTGTTGGTGGGAGTGTAGACTGGTGCAACCACTGTGAAAATCAATATGGAGATACCTCAAACAACTAGAATTGGAAATCCCATTTGACCCAACTATTTCTCTGCTGGGTATCTTCCCAAAAGAATTAAAAGAATCACACCACAGTGATATATATGCACCCATGTTTATAGCAGCACAATTTGTAATAGCTAAAACTTGGAAACAGCCCAATTGCTCATCAACTGGAGACTGGATAAAGAAGATGTGTGTGTTTTTTTTAATGGAGTACTACTCAGTTATAACGAATGAGAAACTAGAGGCATTTATGGCTAAGTGGGTGCACATTGAGGCCATAATAAATAAATAGGACACACACGTGTAAATACCAAATAGTTTCTCTGGTCTGAGAAACTAAAAGTGTAAAGAATCAAAATGTATAATTGATATTGTGAAATAGGAAGAAAATGTTTAAAGGAATAGAGGAAGTGGGAGGGGAAGGGGAAAGAAAAGGAAAAAAAAATACGAGAAAAGGAAAAACATGGAAACAAAGGCTTTGTAAATAGGGAAGGGTGGAGGGGTTGAAGGGAGGGCAGGGGAATGGGGAAAAAATAAGAACCAAGATACATCATGTAAAGGTACAAGATCCCAGTGATGTATGTAACTGTATTGTATACCTAAAATGTACCGATAAATGGGGAAAAAAATTTTTTTCTTTAAAGACTGGGGATTTAGCTCCATGTGAAGGCTCTAGGTTCAGTCCCTAGTACCACTACCAAAAGAAGGGAGGAGAAAATGCAGTATTTTGAAAATAAACTAAGTGTACATGCTTTAGATTAAAACATTCATTGTATACATCTTTTTGTAGCCTAATCCTTTGTGGTATGCAGCAGAGTATGTGAGGAACAGGGTTCCCATACACATGATGCTTAAAGGCTGCTCAAAGGCAGAGCATACTCTTACGTACGAACTGCCAGGATTCCCTCCCTGGTGAAAGACAAAAGCTGGAGAGCAAGGGCAGTAACTACTTTATGAACAGTGTTATTGAAATATGAAAGACTGGTTTTTATTACTGTAACACAATTTGTATGTTGTTGGGAGAGTAGAATATGACAGTTATCCCAAGTGCTGGGATTACAGTCATGTGCCACCACATCAGGCGACAGTGTTTTAAAAGAGTGATAAATTAATCTTTGTAAGCCCTGCCTCCTTCAAAAATAATTTCTTTCCTAAAATAATTTTCTATCTTTATTATAGGCTTCTGAGAATTTTATCTATTCTTGTGCTGGATGCTGTGTAGCCACCTATGTTTTAGGCATTTGTGATCGACACAATGACAATATAATGCTTCGAAGTACAGGACACATGTTCCACATTGACTTTGGAAAGTTTTTGGGCCATGCACAGATGTTTGGTAGCTTTAAAAGGTAATAATGTGCTTCTTATTGTTGCTAAAGAAAAGAGATGTGTCTTGTTTCACAGATTAATGCCCTAAACCTTGGCCCTCTTGCTCTGCTTTGATATATGACCCCCTTTGAATATAACTGGAGATTTTAAAAAGGCCTGAAGAGATGACTTTTTACTAGTAGACAAAATGAGTGTATGTGTAAATTTTGTTGAAATGAATTGACATTCATATCTAGTTTGTGGTATTTCTTAGAAAGGTTTCTATTTGTATAATGGCATGAATATAAAATTTTTCTCTGTATGTTTGAAACTACTGTTTATCTCTGTTTATGTAGATTTATAAATGTTACCTTGGAGAAATTTTCATATATAAGATCTTTCCAATGAGGTTATTATGTGATAGCTTTCCTGAAAATGTGCCTTTTTAAGAATTAAAGAAATTAAAAACTGACTATAGGGCCGGGATTTAGCTCAGTGGTTTCAGCGCCTGCTGCGCAAGCGCAAGGGCCAAGGGCCGGAGTTCGATCCCCGGTACCAAAAAAAAAAAGAAAAACCAAAAAACATGGCTATACTGTTTTTCTACTTGGAAATCCTCTGAAATTGTTCAGATAGCCTAATAACTACATAACAGCAGTAACCCTATTTTAATATCTTATGTTGATACTGTTATATGTGCACTTTCATTTTAAACAGGGATCGGGCTCCGTTTGTGCTTACCTCTGATATGGCATATGTCATTAATGGGGGAGAAAAGCCTACCATTCGTTTCCAGTTGTTTGTGGACCTCTGCTGTCAGGCCTACAACTTGATAAGAAAGCAAGCAAACCTCTTTCTTAACCTCCTTTCACTGGTAACTCTGTTCTCTACAAGCATTTAATTAATTTCATATTAGTATATCTGTTTCAATACCTAAAAAAGAATACTTTGTGATTTTGGAATACAATTTACTATAGTCACAAATGTCACCTATATTTCTGAAGTATTTTTAAATTACTGCTATTTGAAACAAGCCAGGCATAAAAGTACATACTTTACTCCATTTATTAAAGAAAAAAAGTAGGGCCAGGGATTTAGCTGAGTGGTTCTTCTACCTGCCTCGCATGTGCAAGGTCCTGAGTTTGATCCCTGGTACCAAAAAAAAAAGAAAAAAAAGTAGTGACCCTGGGGGTTGAGGAATAGTGGTAGTAGCTGAGGCTCAAGAAGGGTGTCTGGGGATGCTGGTGAATGTTTTGTGTCTTAACATGGGTGTGTTTAGACTGTGCACTTAGAATTTCTACACTCTTGGATATATATTTTACTTAAATTTAAATGAACAAAATTAAAAACCAAAAGCTCTGCTACGATTATTGTGATTGAAATTGATGAGGTAATAAAAACAGACCTAGAAAAAAGGAGGTCTGGATTTCATAGCTTTTGTTCATAAATGAGCTTTATGACTTTCAACAAGTCACTTCCTTAGCCTCCATTTTCTCATTTGTAAGAAACACTGACACCTCAGAACAGTGGTTAGTTTTATTTACTTTAATTCTGGTTACTTGACCAGCAGAAAATTTAACTCACAAACTTTTTTTTTTTCTTCTACAGATGATTCCTTCAGGCTTACCAGAACTTACAAGTATTCAAGACTTGAAATATGTTAGAGATGCACTGCAACCCCAGACTACGGATGCAGAAGCTACAATTTTCTTCACTAGGTGCAGCATGTTTAAATATGTTGTTGAGGGCACATACAATTTAGCTTTGATCTGTTTTACCTGAGTTTAAACAAATACTATTTAACAAAAATCTGTGAGGAAAAAATTGTAATTCACAGTATTGCCAAATATTTAGGTGTAAAGTGTTGGGCTGAGGATATAGCTCAGTGATGGAGCACTTATCTAGCATGTAGGAGGCCCTGAGTTCATTCCTTAGCACTGCCAAAAGTAAGTTATTTACTGAATAAATGTAAAGGATTGTTGGATGTGGTTGCTCACACCTGTAATCCCAGCATTTGGGAGGCTAAGGCAGGAGGATGGTCACAAGTTCAAGGCCAGCCTAGGCTACATAGTGAGTTCGAGGCCAGGCTGAACTACATAGCAAAGCTGTCTCAAAACACACCCAGGGCGGGAATGTAGCTCAGAGGCACAGTGCCTGCCTGGCCTAAGTTTGATTACCGGTACCAAAAACCAACAACAACAAAAAAACACACACACAAAAGATTTCTGTGCTAATCTGTTTTCAGGATTATACTATAGTAATTTTCATGGATGGCTTAAGTGGTTAACATAGCAAACTCTAGGATGCTGTTATAGTTATTATATGATGTGGTGCTTGAAACACATATAACAATGGCTGGTATTTGAATTTGTCATTTAAAATCAGGTCTTCCTGGCAAATGGGTTCTTAAGATCTGGTGACCAGATTGATCATGGACTACTGCTGCCACATCATCATAACACTACAGCGGGAGGAACACAGAAGCTCATGTTCTCTCCTCCCCTTTCCTTTTCTCCTTGCTTTCTGCCTCTCAGTGAAGACACTTGACTGGACTTCCCTAGTTCATCAGTTAGGTCCAAAATGAATTGAAGGAAGCTGACTTTTGTATAGCCTTCCAAACTAATCCTGACAGTTTAAGTGATGGGCTTTGTTTTTTGTTTGTTGTTTTTTTTAAAGAGATTCATTTGCTCCTCTGGACAAAACTACAGAGCAGGCATGCACTTGTCTATTTAGATTTTCATAACAAAAATACCATAGCCTGTGTGGGTGAAACCACAGAATTTTGTTTTCTCAGTCTTGAAGGCTGGAAGTACAAGATCAAGGAGTAGGTTGCTTAGGTTCATGTTGAGGGCTCCCTCCCTAGACTGTAAGTGGCCATCTTCTTGCTGTGTCCTCATATTGGATAGAGAAGGCTTTTCTTGTCTCATAGGGACACTGTTACTGGATCTAGGCTCTACCCTTGTGACCTCATTTAACCTTAGTTACTTCTTTAAAGGCCATTTCACATTGGGGATTGGGCTTCAACATAAGAATTGCTGGAAATACAAACATTTAGTCCACGGCAAGGCCAGACACTTGTGTTAGGGTTCTTTCATTTATCTTTTTGAATGAATCTCCTTACTATCTAGACTATCTGATATCAAATTCTAACATGGTACTTTTTGTTTGTTTTTTGAGATAGGGTCTTGCCACAATACCTTTGGCTGACCTTGAACTCACTATTGTAACCTAGGCTGGCCTCAAAGTTGGAATCCTCCTGCCTTAGCCTCCTGAGTAATGGGATTTCAGGGGTTTGCCACCGTGCCCAGATTCCATTGTACTGCTTGATAGAAGAGAAATTTTGAATTTGAGTTTTTAAAAACTTTTTAATGGTACTGGGCTGAAACCTACAGGTACTCTCCACTAAGCGTATTTTCATATACTGAGACATGATCTTACTAAGTTGTCCAGGTGGGACTTGAACTTGTAATTCTCCTGCTTTAGCCGCCCAGAGTACTGGGATTACAGGCATGTGCCATGGTACCCAGCTTGGGTTTTCATAATAAGATAATCAAGTCACTTTTTCCACATAATTTCAATCACCTACCCCTAATAGCTCTTTCATTGGTATTGGACTTCACAGGGCTCAAGAAAACTCAGCATCATTTCTTTGTTATGCTAAAATTTGGGGGATAAGAGATATATTTTAACAGATCTTTGGCTTAAAGAACAGAGGAATTTCTTCTTGGTAGAGGGAAAATCTGTTTAGTGTTTCTAAAAAGTGTTTTTTATCCCTTGTTATATTGAAAGAATATATCATGGGGTCCCCATGAAGATACATTGTTAACAAACGTTCTGATTGTTTTGTAGGCTGATTGAGTCCAGTTTGGGAAGCATTGCTACAAAGTTTAACTTTTTCATTCACAACCTTGCTCAGCTTCGTTTTTCTGGTCTTCCTTCTAATGATGAGCCCATCCTTTCATTTTCACCCAAAACATACTCCTTTAGACAAGATGGTCGAATCAAGGAAGTGTCTGTTTTCACATACCATAAGAAATACAACCCAGACAAACATTATGTAAGTTTGATTTCAATGTCTGTAGACAATCTTGTGTGTTATTGTTGTCCATCATATGCCCTTCATTGACTCTGCAGAAGAATAAACATGTGTTCTGATTATGCTTGTTTCTTCCATGAATGTTCAAATTTAACTAAATGTACTTGAAGCATCTCCCTACCGTTTTTTTTGTTTTTGTTTTTGTTTTTGAGATAAGGTCTCACTGTGTAGTTCAGGCAGATCTTAAATTCACTGAGTAGCTCAGGCTGGCCTCAAACTCACAGCGTTCCTCCTGCCTCAGCCTCTCAAGTGTTGGAATTATAGGATATTGCCACTGTGCAGCTGTTAAATTTATTTTTAAAATTATGCAGACCAAAAGATATTCTTTCTTTCAGAGACAAGGCCAAAAGAGTAGTGTTACTCTGCATTCTCATTCTCTCTCTCTCTC